ATATATATATATATATATATATATATATATATATATATAAATAAAAGCCATGGGTGTTCATGTTGTAGCATGTGATATTTACTGAGAAAGATTTTTAAACTTTTGATCAAGTTAAACCCTGTCATTCACACACACTAATATGAATGGAAAACAAACAGGCACCAAAGACAACATTTGTAACTTTTAGTGTTAAAAGTTATGGTGAAGAATTAAGAATGGTGCTTGATGAAGTTTTGTCCATTTCTATGTATTAAATGACCGGCAGTTCTGCCACATTTAAAATGGCGGATGCACTGATGTACGGCTGCAGCATATATATATATATATATATATATATATTTATATATATGGGGCCGAGATGGTGTAGAGGCAGGGCAGCCGGCTTGGGACCCGAGAGTCCCAGGTTCGATCCCCAGTCACTGCACATCACGTGGCGTCTCTGGGCAGCACGTCTAATTCCCAAAATGTCCCCCGGGCGCTTTCAATAGCTGCCCACTGCACCACCTGGTGGTGGATGGGTTAAATGCAGAGACTAATTTCGCCATTGTATGGAAACATACAGTGCTGACATTGTGATAACATTATTATTATTATTATTATATATATATATATATATATGTGTGTGTGTGTGTATACTGCAAAGAGCAAAAAGTGCTCTGTGAGCATGTGAGACTCAAATGCTCCGCGCATGCAGGGGATCCACCCCCCTCCCCATTCTCTCCTCTTCTCCTCCCCATTTCATTGGTCCACTGTGACCTGTTCAGTTTCAGTAGTCAGATGTTTTTTTTTTTTACCTTTATTTAAACAGGTAGTCTCATTGAGTCATGAGGACCCACCCCCCAAGAGAGGTGTGTAATGGGCAGTTATGTGAGTGCCGGGATGTGACGAGGCTAAATGTTTTTGGCAACATGAAGCTTGTTAACCAAATAGCCGCAGCATTGTGTATAGAAAAGCCTGTGAAAAAAGTAGCAGCTTATAGCCTGGAAATTACGGTAATCAGTTTAGAAAGTACATTTGAATTGCAGCGTCTGGAAGCTTCTTATTTTCTTAAAGAACCACCAATGGATGCAAATATTCACTTACTGCTTCTAATTTTATTTATTTATTTATTTATTTTTCCTCTTTTACTACACTGGTAATTTTTGTCTAGAGCCATTAAAACTTAAAACTGAAATTTTTGTAACTAATACTTTGTATTTGAATTCTAGTTATGTTGATAATTCAACAAGAAGGAGTGCACCTTCAGTTTTTCTATAATTGTGCCTTTTTTTGTCACGCAGAGTCGATTTGCCAGAATATTACGATGGCTGGAAAAAAAACAGCCTGATTGGTGTCGACAGAGAGACACATGGTCGCTCTACCTGTTCCCTCCTGAGTCCAGGTAAGAGTCACCCCAAGCTTTACCTTTTGTCTCTGTCCTGACGTATGGAAGCTCTTATTTTTAACATGGGTGCTTTGAATGAAACTTGTTTTCCCAGCTGTAAACAAAAACAGGCCGAGGCTTCCTTTTGTCAAGATTTTTACATTTGACTGACAAGCTATAATTCTGACAGCAAAAGCAATGTCACATTTTTCCCCAAAGCAACCACAGCAGTTTTTTCCACTCCTATTCCACCCACCCACATTGTCACTTCTGAAGTCCCTTTTATCTGCACATTTCTGCCATATCAGGGGAAAGGGGAGCTTCTCCCAGCATATTTTCTCAGCTACTTGCAGAATCTCCCCCACTTTACTCTTTATCCCCATCTGGGATCTTTGATCTGTACGTTTGTCTGTTTAAAAAGCATGGCCCTGAAGATAACGCCAAAAGCATGTCAGGCCGGCCTTCAGCAATAACGCAACAATGTGCTAATTAAACATATTTTAATTTTTAAACCAATGAATCACTAAATTTGTGTCCCATAATTAACACTAAATAACAGAACAGAGGCTTTGGCTTTTAAAAGCCATTGTTGTTTATCCAAGCTTTAAGAGCATTCTATCCATTAAGTCTCTAAATTACTTAATTGGTTCCTATCTGCCTTTTCAGAGGCAACAATCATAGCTTTAGTTTGCCCATCAGAGGATATTGTTTTGAAAAAGTAATTACTGGTGTGTGTTTTTTCTCCTCTGCTAAAATTAACCCTCTATGGCATGAATTTTTATTTTAGGAGAGAAAAAAATATTTCATCCTTACTTTTAAGAGTTGGGGGATCCCTGATAATATAATGATCATAAAAATGTGACCCCACAACCCATCACCAGAACTTTGGTTTGTAGCCTCAGGGCAATAAGATGCTATAAAAGTACTAAAACAGCCATATCTTCTATTGTATATTAGAACGAGGAACAGACAATAAATAAATAAATTAGAGGATGTTTTATTACAATAACAACAACAATTTCATTTAAAAAAAACACAACTGTCAAAATTTTATTCAGGGGGTTAGAATTACCCAGTGTTTTAACATGTAGTCAAACTACGTAAATGTAGATAGGATGCAAAGATGGATGGGTGGATGGTTGGATGGATGGATGGTTGGATGGATGGCTTGCAGTACTTTTATGACAGTAAATTTTGATGCCTCATAGTTCTAACCTTCAATTTACTGTAGAAAAAAAACTTTTTAATTCTGCTTTACTTTGGCATTTTCCCAAAAATTACATTAAAAAGAACAATTTTGCTGACAAACTATTATCATTAAGTCGAGTAGAGTCACATGTATTTATAAAGCACATTTAAAAACAGCAGCTGTTACCAAAGTGCTTAACAATAAAACCAAAGTCAGTAATTAAAGAAAAACCTATAACAAAATATAATTAAAAGCATCAAAATAAAAACATAAAAAACACAAAACAATAAAACACTAAATAAAATCAAACTGTGTTGAAAGTCAGTGAAAAGAGATGAGCTTTTAAAATATATTTAAAAACAAAAAGTGAAGAGACCTGTCTAATGTTGAGGGACAGATTGTTCCAAAGTTTAGGGCCAAAGACTGAAAAAGCCCGATCTCCTCTGAGCTTCAGCCTGGTTGTTGGAACAGCCAAAAGCAGCTGATCAGATGATCTTAGCACCTGAGAAGGAACATAAAGTAGAAGCAGCTCAGAGAGGTATGAGGGTTCAAGGCCATTTAGGCACTTAAAGGTCAGCAGGAGAATTTTAAAATTAATTCCAATCCATACAGGGAGCCAGTGAAGAGAAGACAAAAGAGACACCTGACTGACCCCAACGTAGAGCGTGTTACAGTAGTCTAATCAGGTAGTAATGAATGCATGGACTATTTTTTTCAAGGTCAGATCGGGTCAACACTGACTTAAGCTTAGGTGTCTGCCTTAACTGGAAGAAGCATTTTTGTAGAACAGAGTTAATCTGTTTATTAAACTTAAAATCAGAGTCTAAAACCATCCTGAGATTTGTAACAGCCTACTTAAGATATGGCTCAAGACAATCAAGTTTTACAGGAACAGAGACAGCAGTAGAACTAGGGCTAAACACAATGACTTCAGTTTTCTGATCATTAACACTTAAAAAAATGTGAAGCCATCCATGTCTTGACATTTTAACATCAAGACATTTTAACAGGATGAATGGAGCAAGAACTATTTGGGTTTTAAGGGCAGATAAATCAGACAAACATCAACATAATGAAACGAAAGACCGTGTTTCCTCAGGATGGACCCCAAGGGGTGCAGATACAGTGAAAACAGAAGGGGTTCAAAAATCGAGCCCTGCGGAACCCCGCAGGAAAGAGGCACTGAAGCAGATAAAGTATTACTAACATTAACACAAAAGCTCCTGTCACTCAGATAAGAACAGAACTATTCTAACGCTGCACCCGTAATCCCAACTCAGTGTTATAACCATAATATAAGGATACTGTGGTCAACAGTGTCAAAAGGAGTGAAGGAGTGAGTGGTGAGGTCCAGGATTACAAGTATCACAAACTGACCAGAATCATTGTTGTTACAGACCCTTACCAAGGCTGTTTCAGTGCTGTGTAATTGTTTAAAACCGGACTGAGAGATCTAAAAAATTCCATTCCTATTCAAAAACTAATTTAATTGAATAAAAACTATTTTCTCCAAGATTTTAGAAAGAAAGGGAAGTTTTGAGATTGGTCTGAAGTTTGAACAAGCTGAAGGGTCAAGTCCAGGTATTTTAATTAATGGATTTACTACTGTGTGTTTAAAAACATCAGGGACCACACTTGTAGCAAAACTGCTGTTTATAATAGCAAGAACAGAGGATCCAATCGAGGGTAAGACTTCTTTAAAGAATGATGCAGGGATGGGTCAGCAGGGGAACCAGAGGGTTTCATATGACCAACAACATCATTTAAAAATGAGAGCGAAATGGGCTCGAACTGAGAAAGGGACAAGGACAGAGGGGTCAGCTGTGGAGTGAAGAATCAATGACAAACTCTACCTTTTCAACAAAGTGATCAAATCATTGCATCTGCAGAGGCCTCCATGCTGGCAGATTGAGGCATGATTAAAATGGAGTTTATGGTGTTTAAAAGAACACAGGGATTATTATTAAGGCAAACGTAATGTTTAAACACTTACTGATCAAAATGATAAAATAAAAAAAACATAACCTTTAATGTTTATATAGTGAAATGACGGACAACTATGTACACAATACATTTACAAAGTTAACATCCCTGTTTATAATGCTTTACAGAAAACTTCATGTGGACTCGCCGCTCCATGTTCTTTCACCTCCTTGTGTGTCATTCTGTACATAAACCAGTGCATAAATTTCATAAATTAAATGACTGGGTCAATCAGACTTTTCTACCATTATAACAACCTATGCATTCCTAATGTCAGTCCCATTCTTTGTCAAAACTGAAGAAAGCCATTATGAGGGTATGAACTGCATGTCATGAACTGCAGACACATGTTCTTTATCTATTTTTTTTCTGCTGTTTGCTCCTGACGCATACTGTTTTATTGACATCTTTGTACTATAATGTAACATTTTGTGGTTCCTTTTCTGCTTGTTTATTTTAAGTTATCTCTTTGTCTGTTTTTCCATGTTCCATTCAATATACTTATTTTCATGCTTAGAAAAAAAAAACATTTGGGCTAGAATTGGGGAACAAAAGCCACTGTGTCCTATAAACAGTAGGCTGTATGAAATGCTACAGAGGGATGCACACTATATATATATATATATATATATATATATATAAATAAATTGACATTGCAACCTCAATGTGTTCAGTATCAATATCAGTTATGACTCTTTGGACTGCAATAAATCACAGGCTTTCACAGTATGTTCTAAGTGCTATAAATCTCTGCACTGCATGCCGATAATATATTTAACCAATGTGATGGACTGTCACTGCACATTTGCCTACATCCAATTTTAGTGATAGCAGCCAACATGGCTCCAGGTCCAAATGAAAAAAAAACTAAGCTTTCCGTCTTTCCATTAAATCATACCTTTCCAGTTGAAGTCAAGATGTATCCATACTCTGGTTACACAAATAAGCTGTGTGCCATAAGTCACTTCATACCTTCCTTTGCTAACATCATCGCAACGCTACACTGAAAGATTAGTGGGTGTTTATTACAGTTTCCCCCATTAGTTGCAAGCTTGATGTTGAGTCCGTTCCCAATGCAACTGTGGTTACATTTCCACTTTTTTTTAATAGGTTTCGCATTCTGTGCAACAAGATCATCACCCACAAGATGTTTGACCATGTTGTGCTGGTCATCATCTTCCTCAACTGTATCACCATCGCCATGGAGAGGCCTTACATTGATTCCACCAGTGCTGTGAGTGTCACAACACACATATAAAGTTCCACTCTGTAAAGATCTGCAACTTTATTCTGCTGGCTGACAGTTTTTAGTAACATACTGAGACAGAAATGTAAAAAGACAGGTGTGTATATAAAATGTACAGTGTAAACAGAAGTTCTAGAGATGTCTGTGTGTGTGTGTGTGTTGGGGGTGGGGGGTGTCTGTGTGCGTACACAGAGGGACTTGTAAAAGAACCCAGTGAAAGCTCAGCAAAAGTCCTAGATGGAGAATAAGGAAGTACCTGTCAGCAAGTTGAACCTTGACGAAACAAACAAATACTTATACACACATAATGTACACACACACATTTACATAATTATTGTTCTAGTTTGCTGTCTGCAGAGACATTGAGCGAATCATTGTGTAAACACGGAGTCGCTTGTGTTTGACCAGTTGTGGATGATGTGTGTTATTCTCTCACATCTACTGCACTGCGTCATCAACACTGTACCCTTTGTCAGGGGATTTTTGGTCAAGGTTTATGAATATTTAGCACCAACTAATGTTAAATTAATGTTGAACCATGTGTGTGGCTTCAGAGAGTTGTTTTCTCTCTTAGAGAGAAGCCGATTTGATCCTGCATGTACAGCTGGGAGGTCGAGATCATCATGGACTGTCCGTTAGCTGTGATAGCTGAAAATCCTGTATAGAAACAAATTCTTGCACACTGCCCGCTGCAAACCCTTGCGACTGGACTCCAATGATGCATCTGTGCAAACCTGTGAAAGTCTGCCCTTGCAAGTAAAAACTGGTTAAAATATATTTTTGTTTCCTCAAGTGTGGCTTCTGTGCATAATTAAGATGAATAGAGGATATTATCCAGCACTCTTTCGAGCCACTGCCTCATCTCTTCAAAGGATGGCTGGCTGCAGTATCTTGTGACTTTTTGTGACAATGTCCCAAGAGCAAGCTATGGTCATACAGGGTCAGAGCACCAAGACCTCTGCCTTTGGCTGCTGCCTATGACGCTATGGACCTGACTCGTATGAACTCTCCTGCAGGTGTTTGACCCACAGGAAGGCAAACCCATGTAGCTCATTCAGGCTGGGTCCAACTGGGCTCCATGGGTAGACACTCACTGACAAGCCCATCACCCAGGCCTGGCTCCAGGGTTTGGCCTCCGTAACACATGTCGAGGCAAGGGATGTCAAGTTCATTGTTGTTTTCTGCCCATAGGAGTATTCTGGATAGCGTTTTGTCTGACCATTCACCTAAGACCAATTCACCTAGGTGAAATGGTCAGTAACACAAACTTCTCCAACACAATAAGGTGTAATTCATGGAGGAAAATCGTGGAGGGTTTCATGGCCAGTCAAAACACAATTTGAGTTATTTTTCACGATGATGAGAAGTTCATACCACCTGTCAAGCATGGTGGTGGTAAGACCATGCTGTGACACTGGTGCATTACCCAAATTGAATAAATTAACAAAGAATGTATGCCTTCAGCCTTGACACAGTTATCCCAAACTCACATAAAAAATGTTTTCTAAATTGATAAAGCAGAATGGCATTAAGCTTCTGGATTGGTCTTCATAAAACTCTGACCTTAACTGTATTGAAAATTTATGAACAATGATTAAAAGTCCTCTCTCTGCCAGGAAACCGACATATTTTAATTAGCTTTAACAATGCCGTCAAGATGAGTGATCAAATATCCAGACATAACTGTATCAGACATTTCTTGAAGGCTATAAAAATCATGTGGGCAAAATACAACTTGCTAAGGGACTTTTTTTAATAATGAGGTTTTATATTTCTTTCTGTGGCCACTGTGTCCAGTCTGCTTCCAGAGGCCGTTATTCAAATGAGATGGAAATGTATGACGCTGCAATGTGCCTGAAACAAGAGAAAGAGTGGTCTTTACAGATTTCAGCAGCGAGGCTTGTTTTGCCCAGGTGGACATTGCATGCCTCTATTTGTTTGTCTGTGTGGGCTGTTTTGTATTAATGAAGTCGATTGTGAATGGATTTACATTCATTGGTTCTGTTCTAGCCTGCCTAGAACAACCAAACATGTATAATTTATCACTCTGTTGCAATTCTTTGAAGGAACTGCTTCACACCAATCTCTGTGCCAGCTTGGCAAAAGACACATTATATGAAAAGAATCAACGATTATTCATCATTACAGAGATGGAGTTTTACTTTGAACAATGACCAAATATACATTTTCCTTGATACAAGATGCAGATTTGTGCGTTGAGCATGTAGTCTACTGCTGTTTTCATTTGATGCTGGGAGTTGCCTGGTTACTGTCATGCTCAGTTCAGTGTATACAAGTGAGGATAATTATATCATATATTATAATTTATTATTTCAAACTGAGCCGTGAGATAATACATCACTGTCTAAAGCTGTAAATAGAATTACTATCAACATCAAGTGTATAAAATACAATCAGTCCATGTAGTCAGTGTTCTTGTCATCTGCTTCAGGCAGCATTACCATAAAGGGCACGATTGCTCTGCCCACAGGAAAGTTTTTCAAGATGTGTAAGGGTTTGATTGTGTTTTTATTTTTTTTATTTCTGCGTTTCTGGAAAGTAATTTGATTTTCTTGCAACAATAAAGCAATTTAAATAATGGTTGTTTTGAATTGAGGATTCAGAGTTCCTTAAAAGTTCAGAAAGATAGTAATATTAAAAACTGCCAGTAAAAAAACTCAGGAGTTGGGAATGTTTTTCAGATGTGAATCTGTGCAAAAGTGCCTCTTGGTTTAACTCTTTGCTTGCTTCTACTGTCATAACAAGGTCTTACTTGGAACAAGGTCTAACTTGTAACAAACTCTTATGGCTTGTGGTTCCCATGATCTGTGGTCATGCAAGCAAAACTCCAGGTGTTGAACTGGCTCAAACACCACTGTCACTTTTGATAAAGAACATGAAAGCAACAGGGATGCTGTCAATGTTTGTTACAATCTGCCTTTGATGGACTTAAAAATAAAAATAAAATAATACATGCAAGCAGCAAAAAAGGACACACGTAAACTGCAGACAAATAAAACAACCTTTGCCTTTCCTGGCCTTTAGAGATACCGGTTGATTGAAATATTTTCATTTTGATTTTGGACACATAAAACATCTACCTTCCTTCTCTGCATCATGTCAGCCAGCTCTACCTTTGCCTGTTATTGTCCCCACATTTAGAGTGGCCACCCTCAGTCCTACATGCTCGACTTTCCTCTTCTCCCTCTGTCTCCTGACACATGTCCCACCTTGTGGTCTTCGACTAACAGTAGCACAATTTCTACTGGCTCCCTGTTTGTCAACATCACATGTGGCGGTCATTGTTAACCCGGGCCTCGACCGATCTGGTATGGTTTTGCTTTGATGAACTCACGTTAGTTTTGGCAAAAGTGTTTTGTATTGGATACCCTTCTTAACACAACCCTCACCGTTTACCCAGGCTTGGGACCAGAACCAGAGATACACTGGTTGTGCTCCCTAGTGTCTGGTTTTGGCTGATAGTGTTGATTACCATTATTTATTAAAATATAATGTTGACTAGTGTGGAAAGGGCCTACTATAAAGCATATTCTGGCTTCATAACTGGCACATGTGGTAAACTATGTTAAAAAAGAAGCACAACATCAAGTAGTATTGTATGTATGTACAAAGTACAATATATATGTATGTATCAGCAGTTTGGCTGGCCTTGTTGCTGTTTTAAGTGTTTCATAAATAAAGTGGTATGATATGGTGTGTGTTAAACGTTTCCCAGTCTAAGAAGACTTCTGGAACTATATACTTTGGACAAATGAGACCAAAGTAAACAGGTTTCTCATAAAGCATAGCACCATGTTTGTTACACACCAAACACAGCATAATGGAAAGCTTCCATACCACATGTCAAGCATAGTGGTGGAGGGTTGATGATTTGGGCTTGCTCTGCAGCTACAATACCTTATTCATTGAAATGATGTGGTCATTTGTTTTACCTTTCTTGTGAAAAATGTACAACTTTTCATTTTACCACATTATGTCTATATTGTTTACTCCACTTAAACTCAGATACCTAGAATATTGACATCAAATTGAGCCATTATTATAAACTGAGTACTAATGACTTCAATCAGAGGTTATTTCAAAATAAATTGATGCATAAACCTATGCTCACATAGGCAGGATGGCTGCTGTCAAGACTGGAATTTATGGAGCCCTATTATGGAAGCATTCCCAACGATGTCATGCTCGACATTCTCTGAGACTTTGAAAAGCTGCTGCAGAGCTGCTGCTTCTGTTCTCTGTGATGCTAGCCGGAGGTCGTGGGAAAGGCAACCACCTACATATAAAGACTTTCAGCAGCAGGACAGGGTCATGTCTCCTCAGCCAGAGGGAGAGCAGGGAAAATAAGCAGTCAATTAGGGGATCATACTTTTAATGGCATGCTTGTTTAACATCGCCAGTCCTTGTTGAGTTCAGTAAATAAACTTCCCTCCTCACCACAGAGACATGCTGGTTCAAGAAACAGAAAAACACCACTATGTAGTTTTTTTATGGATAATGCTTCTACAAATAGCACAAGCTTGATGGCATTAGTGTTTCAAAGAAACTATGTTTGATGATAAAAAGAAAGGAGCTTCTGTAAAACCAAGTATTACATTAGTTATTGTATAATTTACGAAAATCCTAGCTGCTTTTACATCATGAATGTGTCACAAACCACAAAGGTGTTTAATCGTATTAACAGTTTCTTAACTGGCAGGTTAAATAAAAGGTTTCTGATGTTGATTTTCCACTTCTGGGCAATTTGATATTGAAGGCATTTAATGTATCACATACAATTTAAAAATAATACAACCAGCATGAAATCTCAACAGACTACGGTAAGTTGTTCACTGACAACATTCTGGTCTGTAGTGAGAGTGGACATGCAAATATTCTGCTGTGTTAACACATAAACTGCAGAAGAAGAAGAAAAGAGGAGAGCAAAACCAAAAAAAAAAAAAAGGCTGGGTCTACAAAGTGTCAGGGTTTGGTGGACAGGAACAAACCCAGTAGTGCAGACAGGACTCAACTCGGCAGATTACAAAACTAAGTATTTTAATGATGAATAAAAAAGTAACAAAACAATAAGCTGACGTGGCAGCACACTTACTTAAACTAGATGACTCAGGAGGGATACAAAGACGGGACTCAGGAAGCTTCAGGAAAACGCAGGAGACACAGGAGAACCCTGAAGACCCAAACAAATACGACTCGACAAAGGAACAACACAGAACAGGAGGCTTATATACAAGGACGAGACAAGACGTGATTACAACAGGTGTGACGAGACAAAGGTGGCAACAATTAAACTGATGAGGAAACACTAGGGAAACACAGACACAAACAGAAACAGCAAATGGTACCATCCTTACACAAAGTTTACAAACACTACACTGTGAATGACTGTTGTTTGTATGAAAAAAACGAATTCATGCAAAAGTTTTATACTAAAACCATCCAATGTTGAGAAATTATAAAATTAAAGCAGCTCTAGTTGACTTATAATGATAATAATAATGTTGCGTTCAATACAGCATGATCTGCTAGCATAGATAGGTGTTATGAATGACTCACAGCTAATACCATGTCCAATTTTAGCTAAATAACCAAATATTTAACTTACTTGTAGTCATTTTTGTGTTGGCTAATGTTAAATAGCTCTGGCAGTCATCTTGACTTGGTAGAATTCCAAAGTTAAATTGCTGTAAACGTATAGCCAAAAATAACATTCAGAGTTTCATTACGTTCCACACTTGTGGTTCTTGGGGTATTTTGCTAATAAACTGAGTTGACATTTTAGTTATTGCCAAAAGTTTGAAAACAGCCTGTATCTTTCTTAATTTCTTCAAACCTTTATTTAGACAGGTTAATCCCATTGAGCCTCGAGGACTCATTTACTTTGTGTGCTATATATATTGCCCTGATGGCAGCTTGCTGTTCACAGAACCAGTCTGAGGCAAACCTGGCCAAAGTGGTTCAAATGTCCTGACATAAGCTCAATCATCTACTGTACGTAAATAAGTCCCAAAAAGTTAAGTTTGGTAATCTGGATGGATTCTTCTTGGTTAAACCACTTGGGCCAGGTTTGCCTCAGGCTGGTTCTGTGAATAGCAAGCGGCCATCAGGGCACTAACGATCGATTGTTAGACTGATGGTCCTCCTTTTACATGTGAACAGCTAGTTCTGGAGGTCTCCACCTAACTGGTTTGAGAAAGTGCTATTTATAGGACAGAGTTTGTGACAGGGCCTCAGACTGATGACGTCTTTCGGATGAAAGATGAAACATTTCAACCAAGAAGAATACGTTCAGAGAGGACCTGACTTAACCTTTTTTTTTGGACTCGGAGTGTAAGTTTAGGATAACACCGAGAAACTGCCATGCTAGGTGCTCAGTGTATGTGCCATTAACTGAGTTGGCATTATTTTGGTATTGTCTAATGTCAATACGCTATGGACACCATCTTGAATTGTGTTGTTAAATGTTTTTTTATGGCCTTGATGAGAATATTCTATAAAAGGTGGATGAAAAATGGTTTTGTACATGTGACTTAATCAGAAAATGCTAACTATGTTATTTGTGAAGAAAACAATGTTAGGCTAAATACTAAATGAGATTCTTTGCTTAAATAATTAATCTTGTGCTAATAAAGGCCAAGCCTCATTAGGCCCTGCCAGCCATCATTAGAGTTCAGTGGATGTGTTTGTTTATTGATGCTTTGAGATAAAATATGAAGAAAACAGCTCGCTCATACATTATTGAGCGGTACACTGGATCGGTTTAGAGGCAAGTTCTGTAGGAAAGCAGTCCCATGTAGAACACATAAATGTTAAATAGTGAAAGCTGCTGTACCTCATTTTAACTAGGTCTGTCTGTTGTTGCTTGGCAGGAACGCATCTTTCTCACCGTGGCAAACTACATCTTCACAGCAATCTTTGTGGCTGAGATGACCGTAAAGGTAAGGAACTGGCAAACTATTTACAATCATTTAAACAGGCTGGTTTTTTTCGTCTTTATGATTCACCTCCTACAAGCAGGTGGTAATTTGGACTGTCATGTCTTCAGATGGTTCATGGAAAGTCCGAGCCCTATTTTGAATTTTTCCAGAAAGCCCTCTGTTGACTCACAAAGTAAAAATATAAAATATGATACAAAACAGAAGACCATTAACGCTGTAAGCATCCAAGGAGAAGCGGTGTGAAGCAGCAGACACACATGCAGAAGGAAGATAGTCTCATCTGAATGTCTTGGCTTTGAATGGAGGTCCGTGCAGGCGTGGGTGGAAGCAGCAGCATAGACAGAGGGGAGGAAAGTTCATTGGTGTCACTCGTTCAAAGCTTCTGCCTCTATTTTTGGCAGAACTTCTAATAAATACAGGGCCAGCACACACAGCCATTCATGCTTCTATTACTAAGAAAATCTGAATTACATACACTTCCTAGCAGCTGATTCTACTCGTATCTTTGTTTTTTTTTTTTAATCAACCAGTGCTTTAACCTCATCTCAAAGCCATTGTCTCACTTATCATGTTGGGTGAGATGCTGAGGCCACGGCACAGACAAAAACTCAAAAAGACGCAAAGATAAAAACAATAAAACTAATTTATTTACTAGAACAGAAACAAAAGGCTGACGTAGCAACAATATACTTGTAAAGATAAACCTTGGAAGACCCGGTGGAACAAATGTGAACAGCTTGTACATCTTATGCCCGGATGAGGATCTACCAGCAGAATAGCTCCCACACACTCAACTGGTATTGGGCAATATCAACTTTCCGCCATTTTTGTAGGCAAGCGCTAGATGACAATAATGATAGCTTTCAGACAGACCAAAGCAAAGTATAATGATACTCTTGACCAGTGTGCAAGAGAAAGATGTATACAGAAAATTGCTGCTGTCAGAATTGACCTGTATGAGGTAGAGAAATACATCATGTCAGACGACCTGGACAAGTTGCCACTGATCTCTTACGATGATATAGTTGAATATTTAGTGACCACAAGGAGTGCCTACACATTGGAGGAGCTTCGCAGCATGAATAGTAACATTTGTGTGCTGCTGACATTCTATGTATGTCTTGAAAAAGAGATTTTAAGTCTCAGTCAGATCTAACTGGTTAAATAAAGGTTTAAACGATATATAAGCATGCAGCCTCCTAACTAAAAGAGCCCCGGCTCAGCTCAGGATTAGAACCAGCACATTGTTGCTGTGTGTTACAATGTTAGTACATAGCACAGCGTAGCTTATCTAACTACAATAGAGACACGCTAAATCATGAACAGAGCAGTTCCAGCACACATTCAGTTATGCTCTGACATTGTTTAGCAAAATGACAAATATATAATTTGTTTGTTTACTGGAATAAAAGTGATCGGAGCCGATCCTTGACATCTTCCAGGGTGGATCTTTGCAGTTGATGTTTCCAAGCCAGACTGCACTCAGAGTCAGACAACTGCACTCAACTCCTCCATTTGAGGTCCTTCGCATTTCCTGATTTTTTGGTATTAAGTGAAAACTGCATTTTGCCGAACAATCTGCCCAGTTGGAACATCCTCTTACCCAGCAGAAACAGCCATTACAATTTACCTAAAGAAAAAAAAATACTCAACCAACTTACTCAGACTGAACTACAAAGATGGTCGTTAGCGACAAAAACTGCCCGGATGTTACATCACATGAGCACTATGTAAATAACAGGACACTAGGGAGACAAACACCTGGGGAGGCAACGAGGATCAGGTGAGAGTGGGCGGGGCTAAAGCTGAAACAAAATCAGGGGAAAAATCTGAGGACTGAATTGATGACAAGTAAAACACAAGAAGCAAAACTGAAACTTTAAAATATGGCAACAATCTGAAAAATGTAACATAAACCACAAAGGGAATAAGGAAAAAATAAATAACAGAAAACTATAGTCGAACGACAGCTGATCTTTTCATAGCTACTTCACACGAGCTGGAGATAATGGCACATCCTGATGCCAACAACGCAAGAGGATTATCAAACAGCAGAGACCAGACCTCTTCCTACCCATGGCTGCATCAAGGACGTCTGTCCTTTAAAGTTATGAGCAGGATCTGTGACAACTGGCAGCCCTGGACGAGTCCAAGTCACCTTGAAGGGGTCCGACTTACGGCAATGTGGAGAAAAAAAAATAGTTTAAAACCTTTCAACAGAACTCCAGTTCAAATGATCCGAACCAACACTTTAACTTTATTAAATACACAAAAATGGTTTTGTTTCTAAATGTATGAAGCAAAAGTTCAATCTAATTTAATAAAATCATCTTCATTATGTATTTGTTTACAAGCAGTTTTCTAACGAAGAAATGCTGACTGGTGAACCCGTCACCTTTAAGCAATTTAAGTAAGCTTACAGTCTTCAATCTTTACTGCTGAGTAAACATCACAACAAAGCCAGTGAGCTGAGCATATGGGATATATAGCAATGACTCGTAATAAAAACATAAACAGATCAATGACAATCAAATCTCCTGCTGCACCAAAAAAAAAAAAAAAATACTGGAGAAGGATCATCTAAGCCACATACACAGTGTTTGAAAATATAACATATACATTTTTTTTTTTTTTTTCAAAATTCAGTTGAAGTAACATCTGGTTTGTTCTGCTGACATCACTGTATAGAAACACTGTTTACCATTGTGTGCAGATCGTGGCTATGGGCTTTTTCTTTGGGGACAAAGCTTACCTGAGAAGCAGCTGGAACATCTTGGATGGGATGCTGGTGATGATCTCTGTGATTGATATCCTGGTTTCTCTCATCTCTAACTCGGGAACCAAGATCCTGGGCATGCTCAGAGTGTTGAGGCTGCTGAGGACCTTGAGGCCGCTACGGTAAGTGGCTCTCACAGAAATGTCAAAATCTGTAAACAGACAATCACTCTCATGGATCAAACGCTCAGAAGCTGATGAGGGATCTAACAATTGTTTAAAACTATGAGCGTAAATTCTCACAGTTCAAAGATGTTACTGAAAATTAGGCTGATAAGGCCAAATGGTCAGACTGATAAGATGATATAACTTTTTATGTACTGTATATAGATTTTACACCCAAGTTATTGTAAACAGATTTGGACTAGCATTTGGGTTCAATAAAAACTCACGTATGTGAAAATAATTTTTGGACTTACATCTCTAAATGTGTGTTTTATTGTTTCAGACAGATTCTAAAATTAATGTGCTAACTTTTAGTTTAGGAGTCAATATGTGATAGTGTCTGTCTGTCTGTCTGTCTGTCTGTCTGTCTGTCTGTCTGTCTGTCTGTCTGTCTGTCTGTCTGTCTGTCTGTCTGTCTGTCTGTCTGTCTGTCTATCTATCTATCT